TGAAAAAATGAAAATTAATAATATAGTACTCTGATTTCTTATTGGATTCCTAAAAAACAACATTTATAATAAATGTTAATAATTTTTTTATATATTTTTTACAGCTTAATCAGACCGATTCGGCCTATTCCCGATTAAGATCGCAGATCCACCGATCCGGATGGGTTTTTGGGGTGCCCGATTGGGGCCACTGATCCGTTTTTTAAACCACTGGTGAAGAGTAAACGGCGCAATATCGATACGATTGATTCATGATGAAAGTTCCATTGATAATGCTCATATATGAATGTGATGCTATAAATCATGAAATAAATGCCCCGTGATGATCACCATGTTGTTATGATACTATTATGATGAGAATGTGATGTATATGCCATGAGACAAATGAATTGACTTGTATGAATGGAATGGAATGAGGCCTTAATAATGACCACTACGCATTGGGGCTCAAGCTCATTAGTAGTGGATACTATGCTTTTATGCTAACCACTATGCATTGGGACCCGAGCCCATTGGTAGTGGATACTGTGCTGTTATGCTGACTACTACGCATTGGGACCTAAGCCCATTGGTAGTGGGTATTGTACTGTTTTATTGATGAGAATACTGACCACTATGTATTGGGACTCGAGTCCTTTGGTAGTGGACATTGGGCTTAATGATGAGAACACTGGCCGCTACGTAGTAGGACCTGAGCCTATCAGTAGTGGAGCTAGGTTCACCGAGATAGTGATGCCGACGTATTCCCTAGCCTGCACAATGACAGTAGCAGGTTAGGGGAGAAAAGAGGGTCTCTCCCTATGATTTATAATATGAGATATGAGATCTGATTTGATACCTTGCAAGGCGACGGCCTGTCGAACCCCCAATGCACACTAGGGACTGTGTGCGTGAGTTGAGGGTATTACGCAGTAGATTGTCCCGCTTGTTATCACCTTGCCTCCCTGTGGGATGGTAGAAGCCCTAAGCAATAGGATTGACTTAGCCTGATGGATAGGGGTTTAACTAGCAAGAGTAGGTGAATTAGGGAGTTTGTATGAGATGTATATATTGGAATTATGATTTCTCCTGTATTGCCTGCCTAGATGCACTTTTATATTAGATATCTTGTTATAACGGCTGCATTGGTTTGATAACCAATATGCTCGACTACTGCACTATTATAAATGATGATTAATGACATTATTCCTTGCACCGGAGTATGTTTAATACCCATGCATAACGCTAGATCTGCTTACTGAGCTTCAAAGCTCATTCCATTAGATTTTTTTTCTCCCCGTAGATTGAAAGTGACATGTTAAAAGTCGGAGGTGTGGGTCACAGCTAAAGACTGAAGCGACTACTTTTTGAAGAAGTTCGAGAACCTTGTAGGTTTTGGGCCCTCAACCCTGCTTAGATTAGAGATTTTGTAATTATGGGCCTTGGAGCCTTGAACTTGATTGTATCACCTTTTGAACTATAATATAATGTAATACCTTTATCAGGAATGTGCTTGTTAAGTTTTAATTTATATTAGTGTTCATTTCCTTGGGTTGTTGATTACCATATAGAGGCGTTAAATTTACCCCCACGTGGGTGATAAATGCTACATTGGGATCACGAACCCGCGTCCAGTCGCCTTCTGTTGTGAAGGTTAGGTAGACGAGAGCGGTGTCGTGAGGAATATGGATCTAAATTTTTAGAATCCCCTCAAAATTACTAGATGATTATTTTTAAACAATGGATTTTGAGTGCATTTTAGATCTAGCTGTCAAAAAATTAGGCAATTTATATCTAAGGAATGTTATCTTTCATGCCCAGTGAGTTTCAAATTTTTTTTTTTGTTGTTGTTGAAGTCGGTCATTAGTTTGCAGATAATATATTGAGGGAGTTTTACTCCAGGGAGTAAGAAAACAATATGCACTAACATGAGCTGCGAATCATTTAAGTTTTTTGAATCCCCCGCACCATAATGCGCGTCTACACATCTTCCAACAATCTAATAGCCTATCGCAAAGCCTTAGCCTCTACCTTCTTATGCTGCAGGCATGTTTGATAACTACGCGGGTCCCAATTTACTCTGAGACATATGGTTATCAAGGCTGGATCATGTTGGCTGATCATACTGTAGTTCTGTACCATGGCCGTGGTCACGACCAATATTTAACATATTTTAGCTGGTCTTATCTGTTTTAATTAGTTCGACCAAATAAATAAAATCCGGTAACCTTTTATTTATTTAAAATTTAAATTATTATTCATATTTTTCTTTATATTGTTAAAATTAAGGAAATTATCTCTAATATACCTAAATTTTAATAAAACTGGAAAAAAAAACCCCAATTTCTCAAAACCTCGCCCACAACCCACACTCTTTTTCTCTATTTTAGATTTTTTTTGAATGAAAATACCTTTTACGGTAGTATATTTACTGTGAATAGAATTATGGTAACTTAAATACCATAATGTTTACAAAAGTCTATACGACAATATATATATCATTATAAAAAAGAGAATTTATACGGTACTCGTAGTATCGTAATACTTCCTTCAAATTATACGGTAATATGGTTATTGTAATGTGCTGAAACGTCTACCACCGCTGAGCAGTGTATGCAGCAAATGTGTGCTGTATTGCCCACTAATTTATTATGCGAAGATAAATGAATGCCGACAGTTAGATAACAGTTAGATAATGGTTACTAGAGAGAGGAAGTCTTTTCTTTATAATGGTTACTTTGCGCATAAAATTCATCATTATTGTACTGCAATGCTATTTGAAGATTCAACTAAAACAACTTACAACCTACACCAAATCTTCATATGCCTTGTTTTATGCATATTGAAATTTATTTCAAGAATTTTTGCACCAATGTGTCCGCATCACATCAAATTGAAGAAGACAACAACAACAATGATGGAAGTAGAGCACTACGGTATTAAGAATACAGTAACCGTTTTATAAGATATAGAGGTATTCTATATACCGTAATATAAATTCAAAATATTACGGTATTCTTTATACCGTAATACTAATTCAATGTAAAACGATATTTATATTATCGTAAAGATGATAGGTATTACGGTAAAAAGACTACTGTAAAAGGTATTTTCGTCCAAAAAATGATAAAAATTGAGAAAAAAAATCTGGACGAAGTTTTGATAAGTTGGGTTTTTTTCTTTTTCCAATTTTATTAAAATTTAAATATATTAAAGATAATTTTCTTTAAAATTATAATCCGACTACTTTGTACGGCTATCTAATCGAATTTGACAAGACCAAGCTACTCAACGAATCAGCAGTCAATCAGATCTCCATAACACTGCTTTATTGTTTGATAAGGCCAAGTGCTATAGTGTTCCCTTTGTATGGAACTATCGCCCCTCGAAGGTGGAAGAGAGAACCAGACTTCCCATCGGTTCAGTGGTCACTCACTGCTTGAGCGTTTGATTAGACCCCATGCTACAGTGTTCCATGGCAATGGAACTCCAAACTCCTTGAAAGATCTAGAAGCCGGAGTTCCACATCCCCATTGGAACTCCGTATTTTAGAACGGTTGGCTTTGATTCGTTCCAGAGACACGTGTTGAGTGGGCTTGCCCAATGTAGGAAAATTTGGGCAGTTCAAATTCTAATTGTCCGGTTAGATCGGAGCTCATCACTTCTGGTCTTGACCAATTTTGGTGAACAGCCGGATATTTTAAAATTTTTTTAAAATAAGTTATATAAAATCTTAAAAAATAAGAGATTTTGTTTTTAATATATTTTTTAATGTTTTCCATTATTTTGGCAAAAGTTGAAAATTGGGAAAAGGCTATGATAAAGATGATCATGGTGACAAAATTAGAAATTGTTTTGGTCATCAATAGTTATTTTTACATATTTCTATTTTTTTTGAAAAATTTCAAAAATACATTGGACATAAATCGATTCTTAAAAATCAAAATTTCATTAAATTTTAACTTAATTTGGATATACTTTGTTTACTCATTCTGTAAATATATTTTTTATATTATATTAGGCTTTTTTTTAACACTTTTTAAACTGCTGAAAATTGGCCTGGTTACGACACTAGAACCGGCTGCTTTATCCGTTAGGCCTAATAAACCGCTTCGGATTCAATTTTTCCTGCACCGGCCCTGCCCTTCCAAACCCTAAACCTCAGTTATCTTCTAACGTCTCTCTGCTCTCGCAACCTCTCTTCTCTCTCTACCATAGCTTTAATCTCTCTCTACCCTCCTCCCTCTTCTCTCTGACCTAACTTCTCTCTACTTGAAAGTAACATAACATTCACACGCTCATTTGGAAGTCCAGCTTCTGTTTTGATGCTGTCAACTGGTATTCCCAAGCAAAAATTCATCCTCAAACCATCGTACGCGAATAAATTCCATGCTTTTGATATCCAAAGTTGATTGGGTCTGTTTTCCTTTCGTTGCAAAACGAATTTTCTTTCTCTGAGTTTATGAGTCCTCAATTTTAGAGAAAGGAGCTTTTTTTTCTTGAAGTTAATTCCATTGGATGCTTGAATGATGTTAGTTTTGTAAATTTGCTGGTTCACGCTTGTTCATGGTGAATTTAATGTCTCTCTTGCTCCCTCTCTGTAGTTTGAATGGTCAGTTTTGTGTTTGTTGAAATTTACTTGCTTTGATGTGCTGTTGCAGCATACGCTTGTCTGCTGCACGTAGTTCTTGATCCTTGAGCAAATTCGCTTGATTCTTTTTTTCTTATAAAGAACAGGAACTTTGTTATCTCATTTATTTCTCTCAATGGAATCCATGTGCTGTGATTTCGTTAATGCTTGTTTTCATAGGCTTTCACTGCTAAAATAATGTTTCTATGAAGTGTTTGAAACTAGCCATTCGATGTTTATCACTGGAAAATGCTTTCCATCTTCCCAAGTTTACATTGTGACAATTTAGGTGATGAGTTGCTCATGTTCAGGCTTCATTAATATAGTTTTTAAAAAACCAAAATACCCTGTAGAATGAAAAGAACAATGTGAAGTAAAAAACGTAGTCTACATAATATGTTGCTGCACTTTTCGTGTTCAAAAAGGTTAGTTTCAGTTACAGGTTCAGCCTTTCCATATACAGGTGTCGGGAGTGAGAATTTTGATTACGTACATGCTCAATTCAGTTGGATATGTTGATCAAAGCATTTATACTTGACTCAGCCTTTTCTTATTTTTCTTGTGTTCTTGGTCACTATATTTTTTCTTCCCCATTTTTTGGGTAAAGATATGAACAATGGGATTTCCCCTCGATAGGTCTTGATTTGGGTACTCTATTTTGATAATGATCACTATCATTGAGAGGCCATGGATGGATTCATAGTTTTAAAATTGATTATGCCATGGATGGTGAAAACCAGTATCTTCCTATTTGATTTTGTCATAAGGTCTTGGGATTGGAACTTCATTGATAGAAACAATTCATGAGCTTGCTATGCACATCTAAAAATCAAGTTTTGAAGATCCATTTATTTCCTCATATGATAGGTCCAGGATATTGTGTATGTCAAAAGGAGGTAGGTTGCAAACGTTGCTATGATATTGTGTAGGTAAAAAAGAAGTTGGTTGCAAACGCTACTGTTACTTTAGGACTTTGCATGTATGCTAACAAGTTCTCTGATATCAGAACTTTCATGAATATCTCCATGGCCACTGAAAGACGTAGCTTGCACCCAATACCTGGTTGATTAACTCAACATTGTTGAGAAGGTTCTTGAAGCAGGTGCAAAAAATATTACTCTTGCTTCATGAAGAAAGGAATATGTGTAGTTTAACGAATAATAAATAAAATGAAACCTGCATGTTGGATTTGACTTTAAGTAACATATATGGTCCTTGCACATGTATGTTATGGAATCTTGAGGTAATGATTAATGTGTTAATTTTTTTTTTTTGAAAAACAGCCAGTGGGGTGTATCCCTCACCCAACGATCCTGATTCAGATCGGAGATCCATCAAAGTTTAAAAATAAATAAATAATTAAAGGTTATATAACTTGATGCATGCTTAGTGTCACAAGTGACTTCTCTAGACCTTGCGCCCCTAACCAATAAGGTCGTATCTTCGAATCCTGACTCTTGTCTCTCTTTAGAGAGCAATAATTTTTTTAGTCCCGAATCTGGCCTTTTTTCATTTTTTGGTTGAGCGTTAAGAAATAATAGAAGGCGCCTCACTATGGGGCCCCAAGCCTCCATGCCAATGACTAATGGATGCATGTGCTAGCCAACTCGACCATTCTGGTTCTTTGCAATAATATATACATATTAGGTCTTATATAAAGTACTGAATTGATGACTGTGACTCAGAATCTGTATGGTCATCAATGACTCTTGACGTAGATAAGTGATTCCCGATCTAGATCATCAAATTTTTAATCACTGTTAGGCAGTGAGGGGTTCACCTTGGTGCTCTAGTAAGGCACATATAGTTCATATCTGGTAAAATAAAATTATATATATTTTTATATATATGATCGTACATGTCTCGTTTTTGATGAGTAATGCCATATTGATCATTTTTTTTCAGGAATGTTGAATATGGCTTATGGCGTATGACCATTTTTCTTTATCAATTTGTATGAAGATCATGCAAGATATGATTCCTTTGAATTAAAAAGCGAAGGCTTAAGTTATCAAAATGTTGAATATGACTTGTAGAGGAAAAATAAGGCGTCTATTATCATAGCCTCCTATGAGGCCATTTTTCACATCAGGAGACTAGGTCATGAACTATTATGGATATTTTTCTTCTATTAGTGTGAAATGAAGTAGGTGCATTATATTATACCTATTGTGGGAATCTCGTTCATTGAACAAATATCACCCTCTCATTGATGAAAACTTCAATGAACGGTTAAAATTCACTTATTTGTAGATCTCTAGGTTTCCAAAATTCCTAGTTTTAATTTAGGGTGGCAATGGGCCGGGTGCCCCACCTGGCCTGACCCCAAAAAATTAGGGCCTAGGCCAGAAAATGTGGTGCGAGGACTGGGCTAGGGCTAGGGTACCACGGTCCGACGGCCGGGTTGGGTAGGCCTAGATCATGTCTGAGGTAGGGCCGGTCCGGCCAACCATTATATTTTTTATCCCTTTTTTTTTTTTTTAATCCTTGCCTGGCCTTGGCTAGGGCCTTTGAGGCTCAATCCGGGTCTGGCCGGGCCTCGGTCAGCCCTTAGGGGAATAAATCGGGCTAGGGCCAGGTTGGCCTGGCCTGTTGCCTGCTCTAGGTTTAATAAAACACATGTTTCAATACCTTAAATACCAATCGGTTATCACGCATAGTGTTTTGCCGTCCTAGGTAACTAAACTTCAAGTTTCAAGGCTCTAAAAGATTCCAGTTTCTGGGTAAATTCCTGTTTCCAATTGTCAAATAGGTCCTTAACGAATAGAGGGAGAGGACTGGAGGGGATAACTATATAGATGTACTAAATAACAGAGATTGTTCCATTGTTCAAAAAGGTGAATTTGGCTTCCTAGGGGGGCACCCAAATACTTGGGCGATCCTAGAGTAGGGGGATTGGGGAGGTTATATGGCTAGAGAGAGAGAGCATGGATTTCATGTGTGTGTGTGAGGCATTGCATTGAACACTTGGAGCTTATATTCTTTTTTATCTTCTTCATATATATAGTCAGGGAGAGGGGCTCGCATCAAACACTTGGAAGTCATTTTCTTCTCTTCTTCTAATATGGCGAGAGAGAGAGAGAGAATGGTCCATGAGTTTGTGTGAGAGAGGCCTCACATCGAACACTTGGAGGATGTATTCTTCTTTTTCTTCTTTATATATGTTGGGCGGGGGGGAGGGAATACTCTCTCCGAACACTTCTGAGAGAGAGAGTAATCACATCGAACGTTTTGAGGCCGTCATCTTTTTTCTTTATGTAGAGACCGAAGAGACCGAGAGTGCCATGTTGGAAATGCAGGATTAGGAATCCAAATCTTCTTTGTATTTCCTTTTTATTTTTAGTTTTTTTGCCAAGGCATCCTCCTAGGCAGGTCTAGGCAGGCGCCTAGGTACATATCAGCATAGGGCAACCCGCCCTCCTAGTCAGTTAGGGTGGCCCCTAGACTGCCTAGGCAGCAAGAAGGCCAAATTTCTGAACACTGATCCTTTCTTAATAAAGGAAGGAGGCTAAGTAGTCTTATTGGGGTTTTGTAATAAACAATCAAGAGTGAGATTGTCTCATTAGAAAATGAGATTTAACCCATCAACCACATGCTTCGTTCTCTCTCTGTAATCCCTAGCATCTCTTTACCCAACCACAATCCGTCTCTCTCATCCATGACCAAAATCTATATTTATAAGCCCTAGAATGATACAATCTTTATGCCAACCACGGTTCTTCTCTCTTCTCCATGGCCAGAATTTCTCTCTCAGTAAACCATAGCATCTCTCTGCACAACCACAACCCTTCTCAGTCCTCCACAACTAAAGTTTCGTGTATCTCTTCATTGGCGAGGCTCTCCCTCTCTCTCTCTCTTCATCGACTTGAGTTTTTCCATCGCTAGAGTTCTCAAGTATTTTGGTGCCTTTTTTGCTACTGTGGTGTTTTTTTTTTTTTGGGGGGGTCATTTGGCAATTACTCCTAGCCATTCGATGTCAAATTGCATGGCTTGAGATGTGTCATGAAGTTCGAGAAGTTTTTTTGTTTTGAACTTTGAGTCCAGTCAATGACATTCTTATAACTTCCCTAATTTGAAATCTGACGGACCAGAGTAATTGTGACCTCCTTATACCAAAAGTAAATGGTCTCTTTATATACTTTTCTATATATTTATTGCTCATTGCCTACAAAAAAGGTTAAAAACTTTTTAATTAATATAAGTCTAGGTTTCAAATACATCCAAAACTACGAGCTGCTTTTACTTGATTCACCAAACTGTCAAAAATCATTTCTAGTTTGTGACCTATTGGAACTGGAGAAGGATTCGGCCTTATTTCCACTACCGTCTGATGGATTGCCTCTATGCTCGGCAACTCAAGCTCCAGATCTTATCTTCATTTACGGGTTCATGGCCCTGCTTGCCGTTAGCAATAGCTGCTTTCGCTTCCTCTGCTCTTTTGGTCCGGGCTTCCTTCCTCTGGTTTTCTGCTGGGAGGAAGCTAGAGGAGTTGGTAGAGGTGGTTGATCTCTTCCAAGGGTTTCTGGTTGTTCTTGTCAACAACTTGCATCTGCTACGGTTTGTTATCTGTATCTATGTGTTTTGAGGTGGATACACTCAGGATATGTATCTGCTTTTTGAGCCAATGGCCAAAACCGCTTATGATCCGTTATAGAATGGATTTTCTTATGATCTGCTGAGCCAAAACCCCTTATGATCTGTTATTTTACAGTAAGTTTTGATTTATTAAGAGTTACACGCAGCACTTTCCTCATTCAATAGAAGGTGTTGCTCCTTATTTAGATGGTAAACTTTGTTGCAGGTTGGTTTGTAATGTGAACAAGTATATTGAAGGGGATAAATTGAAGGTTAGCTGAAATCTTTTGGATTTTTTTATAGGCATAATTAATATTTATGGATTCAGAAAATTTTTCACGATTGTGGGTTTTCCATGATTTTTGGTGGCCTTTACTTGATGTATTTGTTTTTATCCTTGTGATCGACGAAAGTAAAATTTATTCATGCATTGGTTTTGTGAAATAAGAGCTGATTCTTACAATAGTATATTAACTTTTCTATGGGGAGCCTATTATAGAACTGCACAAAAAACCAAATTCTTGATTAGAATGCAAGGTTATTAGTTTGCTAGAATGAAACCAAATTCTTGATTAGAATATTATTATGCTAGAATGAAATCTTATTATAGACTTGCTTTTTGAGATTATTTTATTTTTTATTTTTTGGGGGTCAAATCTATACGATGCATTGGTTTTTGGATTTTGATATTTAATTAGGTCTTTTGTGATTGACAATATATTTTTTGGTGCATTATTGCAATATTATTGAGAATAATTGTCACACTTTTGCTGAATAAGTTACTCATAAAAAGAATTGGGTTAATTATTAATGGAAAACAATGGGTTAGGTATGTCATTTGAAATTATCCTGTTTGGGCTAGTGTTACCATTTGACAGGCCACCAAACCAGTAAGGGGTATGCTCCAGTCAAATCACTCAAACCGCCAGTCAAACTGGCTGGACTAGATTTTAAAAAATAAAGAGAAGTAAAAAGAACTATCTAAAAATATGAAATATATTATATAAAAAGTTGCCCAATTTTGGGTCTAACCAGTCAGAACCCCAGTCCAACTTACCAAAACTAATCAAGCATAGGTTTTGACTGGTTTTCCAATGAACTCGTTTTTTGCTGACCGGTCAAGGAATTTTTTGTAATCCAATTGGATTGATCAGCCGGTATGTTACAATGTTGGTAACTATTGTTTCAAGTACTATGTGCTTTACATGAATGATTAAAAGATAGTTAGTCACCTGTATAAGATAGCGAGTCATAAAAGGGGTTTTCTTATATATAATTGTATGTCATGCTAATATCAATTAAAAAAGGGAAAAATACACAGATCCCCACTCCACAAAATGCATCTCATTTAGATCCTTTTCTATTGATCCCCTTTCTTTTATCAGACGTAAACCCCCGTCCCCACTTTTTTCCTAGTACAAATAACTAAACAATCCCTATGTTTTGTTTAATTTCAACATCATCCAAAATAAAAAATGAGCTATTCAAAACTGAATCTCTCATGAACCTGTCTCTTCCCTATCTTCAACACAGACACACACACAAACTCTTTCTCTCTTTGCCTTTCTCTTAACACACTTATCTCTACCCCTTCACTCTCTCTCTCTATCCCTTATATGCAAGGAACCAATTTTGTCGCAAAAGATTGTTATGATAAGCATTGACTTAGTTGCAGAGGAAGTTCATATTGAGAAGACAAGATGCAGCATGATGAGGTCATATGGCAAATCATTCGGCACAAACATTGTAGTTTCATGGCCAAGTATATCTTCTACACTCTCCTTTAATTTCATGGTTTGGACATGATTTTCTTGATATTTACATGTTTTTCTTTTTTTGTTTGGTTTTCTTCTTTCTTGTTTGCTCTATGTAGTTCTTAAGATTTTGGGTTCAAATAATGAGAAAATAGAGATTTTTGGTTATTTTATTTTTGGGTTTTTGCTTTTACTTCTCCTTCATGTTTTGCTCTAATTCATTAAGGGGACGATTGGCAATTGGAAGCTTGGGATTCCTGGGAATCTGGAAGTTCTAGTTCGTTGGAAGTTGGAGCTGTTGAATACTTGTTTGATAACTTGCCTAGAAGTTCTCAAATACAGAGATCGGGCTTCAAAGTGATATAACAAAGCCTCATAGAGATTAGGCTTCAAGGCTTCAAAAAGAGAGGAGAGATAAAAAGGGCAAGGTTAGAGATAGAAAGGAGTTAGAGAGAGAAAGGGCACATTTAAAGTTTGAAAGGGCACAATTAGAGAGAGCAAAAGGATAGTATTAGATAGAGAAAGGGCACACTTGGAGAGGGGATTGAGTTAGACAGAAAGGGCATGACGAGAGAGAGAGAGAGAGAGAGAGAGAGAGAGAGAGAGAGAGAGTAATAAGAAGTAACTATAGTAGTAGAGAGAGAGTAGTAGGAGGAAGGAGAGTAGTAGTAGTAGAGAGAGAGAGAGAGAAGACATAGTAGAGAGTAGTAGAGAAGGTAAGTAGTAGAGAGAGAGACTATAGTTAGAGAGAGTAAGTA